GCAAAAGAATGACAGCATTTTGTTTGTGCACAACTTGTCAAGATGATTATGTTTTCTTAATTTGCTTTTTTTGTTTATTTGCATGTGTTTTTTTAAGTTGCAAACACAGAATACAGTTTAACAGCTGTGTTGCTGAATTAGTAGGCACTCATATGTCCCCAGTTTTCTCCCTTTGCAGATGCCTGTAGTGTCAGAAATAGGCAGAAGAGACTAAGAGAGATTTGAATGAAAGATTCAATAAGGGATTTACTGGCAGAGCTTAACAAATTTGTGTTTTTTACCACATTGGAAACGGATCCAAAATGGAGTGGGAATTGGAACCATCCATCATGCCCAATTCACCAATCCAAGATTTTTTCAATTGTACATTATGCTTGGTTTAGACTACGTGATATAAGCCTGATAATAGCCTGACCACAAAGAAGTAGGGCATCTGTGTATTGTATTATAGTGAAGAGCAACCCCAATGCCATATCTGGAATTGGCGGAAAGACTTGCTTTATATACTAGATTTGTATTTTGCCTTCCGCAAAAAAATTCTTCAGCATGTTCCAGATGTTGACCAATAGGAGCACAACTGCAAATGTGGTGAAGAGGAATGTATGTTGTTGATCCTGCGAAATGGAACGATGAAACAGAGGTGACAGTCATTTTTTCTTTCTTTTCTAGGCTTTTCCAAACTCAATACAGCCAGTATTAACATACCGCTTCAGACAATTGTTTACATTCTCGTTCAGAAACCCTAACACCTCATTCCTAATGACACCATGCATGTTCTGAAAGACTGCAAGCTATGAGTGGTCAGAGACCAACTCATACATTATGCAGTCTGAATCTGTCATTAGACATATTAACATAATCACTAATCACAGATACAACAGGGTTTGTTATGGTGGGGAAATTGTGATCATTTTATCCTCCTACATGAATATTATCAGCATGAACAGTGCAAAACCCCAATAGTAACAAAGTAATCTACCAGGAAGGTGGACTTGCACATACTTGATTGGTCAGTGCAGTATGTTGCAGTAACTGCATTTTCTGTCTGAAGCCCCACTACGTCAGCGCAGTGGTTTCATTCAGCTCGCTTAAATGCACACAAGCAACCAGGATACTATAAAAATTAGGTTACACAAGAAATGTGCTTACATATACTGTACATCTCAGATTACTGTACATCCAAGTATACATGCAGCAGGTCTTTTATTTTAGAACTATGATTTAGTGAATCCACTGATAAAGAAACAAATAATACTTAAGTTAAAGCTCCAGTATGTAATATGTAGGTTGATCTCTTGGCAGAAATGGAATATAATATTCATAGATACATTTTCCAAGTGTATAATCTCCTGAAAATAAGAATAGCGTTGTTTGGTTACCTTAGAATAAGCCTTTTATATCTACAGGTTGCCTTCTATGGGTCCGCCATGTTGAACCGTCATGTTTCTACAGTAGTCCAGAACAGAAAAACTGAATACTGGTTGTAGATAGGGCTGTTTTTTCATTTTGCAGCCATCATAGTTTCTCCTTTTGAGCTTAGATGGGTAGGGAAAAGCAAAGGAGCTGCAATCTGCAAGTACACTGCTAGATTCTGCTAAATTCATAATAAATTAAAAACACAGAGGGAACAATCCATCTTGTCAGAGTGCATGAAAACACCAATTATTAATATGTTTCACAATGATAAATAATATGCACCATTACCCACAATAACAACTGGTCCTGCTTTATTTCCAAATCATAAGAGCCCTGTTTTTCTCTATCTAGTTTGAAGTTTCAAACTAGATTATTTCTGTTTTGTGCTTATGTTGCATATTCCTAAATTAACACGTTTAACTAAATAACCACACAACAAACCTGAGGCCAGGTGCTATTGCACATTGTATATACGGTGAGAGGAATGGGGAAGTAATTGTGGGCCTATACCAGCACATCTTTTCCCCTCCAGGTAGATTTATCTGCATAGACAGACATGTTGAAAATGAGCCATCCTTAAAAATGGTAAACAAGAATGTATTTGAGCTTCTGTACGTGATCATTAACTACACAATATTTAAGTGTATATTCAGGAAACACTGCACTTCATAATAAATTAAAGAATAATTCTGTCTATAATTTAATTTGATTTTCAATAGATCACTAAAGACAGCTTTTGTTGAGTAGACTCTGAGACAGCATAATCCTTGTAGTTTTGGGGAACACTGCCATCAACAAAGATCTTCCTCATTCTCCTACAGCTCTAAAGTAATTCTGTGTGTCAAGCTAAATGAATACCTGTGTATAGGGACATGTCTTCAGCACAATCATCTAAAAAGAGGGTCAGACTTCTCAAAGACTTTCTAGAAAACATTCCATTTGCGGTTGGCTAGCCAAATAATAATGTGCTTTTTGATTGAGTTGGACTAGTTTACTCTGTTACTGATGGAGGGATATTTAGCAAGAAGCAGTTGCGGTGTATCTGCATAATAATGGAGTATATTAAAGTATTAATGTAACATAAAATACAAAGTTGGGAGAACTGTGAGCTCAGTGAACAACACCATGATGAACTAAAGATTTTAGCCTATTACCTACAGATTAACAAACTGTCTTGATTGACTGACTGATACAAGGAACTTTGTTCTATTTTATCTGCGGCAGTAACCTTTTGATAACATAAGATGAAAGGGTGCTGCATTTTACCTAATCTTGAAGCTGTTTGGTGTAGAGGGGCGCTGTGTCAAAATGTAGTTTTAAAAACTGGCAAAAATACAATGAAACTGCTTTGAAGTCTGCAGTCCACACTGTACCTGATGGGTACTTAAAGTGTGCCTCCACTCAAAAATAGTTCTTACAGCTGGATGTTCACTGTGCTGAATGATGTATGTGCAGAGTTTGACAGAAGGATGCTTTCACATTCATCCCGAAGTTTCGTGGATCCTGGTGGAGCCTCCTGCCATGGACCTGCTTGACTGCTACTGCTAATATTACTGATATTAGTGTTATTATTTTTATAAGTATTACTATTGCTACGGTTACTGTTGTGTCGTCGGCGGCTTTTCATGTTCATCATCCATCAGTCACTACTGAATTAGTGTAAGTTTGTTGCTACTGTTGTTGCTGTGCACCTTCTGTCCGTGGTCTGTCGTTGTCTGTCTGTCGTCTGTTCTCTGTCTCTCCTTCTCTCTTCTGCTCTCTCTCTTCTCTGTATTCTCTCCTCACTCTCTCTCTATCTCACCCAACTGGCAAGGCAGCAGTGACCACCACCTCAGAGCTGAAAGGGTCTGTCACCGGAGGTTTCTGCGCTGTTAAAAGGCAGTTTTCCTGGCCCCGTCCGCCAGTAGTCTTGCTCATGGTCGTACTGTTGGGTCTCTCAGTAAATGTATAAAAGGGTTCGGTCTAGACCTGTCTATTTTGAAAAGTGTCCTGAGATAGGAGTCTGTTATGAGATTGGCGCGCGTATATAAATAAAATTGAGTTGAATTGAATTGAAATCTGCTGAAAGTGGAAAGTTTATCTGTGCTCACTAAAAATCAAATTTTAAGGAGCAGGGCCTATGAGCATGATTTTTGACAACACAAATAGTTTGGAAGTCAATCCTGGTCAAGTATGCAACTTCTACAAGTGTGATCCATAGATTCTAAAATTTCTAATGAGGTATAAGGAGTAGATGCCTTTTTAAGGATTTTAACGTGGAAATTTTACTTTATTTGTAGAAAAAACATTCCAGACACACATTATTGTTTCAAACATTTGTATGTATTCTTAATGTCTGGAGGGGATCTTCAAACCCAACAGGTTACAGTACATACACACTGCAGAATGGGGGCACAAAAAATATTTTTGCCCTGAGGCCCTAAAGTTAATCTGGCTTCCATATAAACATCTGTACATTTTTATGGTGGTCTACTTACATTATAGAATGTTTTTTCCTACTTAGAGCATGGAGATAAAAAAATGTTGTTGTCTTCGCTGCTCCCCCACAGTTTTTTTAGGAAAAGCCCAAAGAGTCTGTGCTTGTGATTTTAAAGGATAAGTGTGTGGGATTTAGTGGCATCTAGCAGTGTAGTTGCAGATTACAACCCCATGCTTCACCCTCCCCTTCCAAGCTCTTTAGCCCCTCTCCAGTGGCTCCCTGTGGCTTTGACAAAACATTGTATGGAAATAAATAACGGTTCTTATTTTAAAGTCTGACAGGCTCAGATTGTTATTCGAAGTGTCTAACAACAGTATGGAAATGATCCCTACAGATATAGACCTTTTGTTTAACCAGAAACAGCTGCAATATCCCTATTGCTCAGTTAGTTTGTGTTATTGTGTGACTTTGGTGCTTTTAATTCTTACATTCTATATTTGTAAAATGACATAGGCTACTGAATAAAAAAATAAACTTAATTGTGCAGCATGGCACGCAAAATTGGCGTCTTTTCCTCTGTATGTTGTACAGATTTTTATTTTTGGCCCTTTTTATCGTAAAGGTTGCCTAGTCTGTGTTTGGTTTGTTCATTCTGGGCAACTAAAGAGGCACACTGGTTCAACAAGATATATTCCATTTCTGCCAAAAGATCCACCTATGTTACACACTGGACCTTTAAGTCTGTTGAGCTTGGTTTCTTGCAATAAAACACAAAGACTTTGAAAATGACTTCCTTAAAAATAATCCCATAAGGATTACCAAACACATAGGCCTATGTCATTTAAACAGAAATATCTAGCCTACAAACCTATTCTAATTAGCCTACAGCAGTGTGATCTTTAAACTCAGAATTTAAATACATTTTTCACATGTGGCCCTAATCCTCTTCTGATAGAAATAATTGATTATCAAGACTGTCTCCCTGGAGTGCCTCCTCCTCTTTCTCCCTCCGTCATCAACAAGTGAGTGGCGCGCTGTTGGAGCCGTTTCAGTTGCAAATGCACGCGCACATGCTGCAGCTTTCCGCTATCCCATTGGTCCACACGCGGCTGACTGCACGAGAATAGAAGAAGTTTTGGAGTGAGCAGGCAGAAGAGTTCAGTGTGTGAGCTGTCCGTCTGACAACAAGTGGCTTTCCGCAGAGACAGAGGCCCGCAGCACCGAGGACAGTCAGCTGCTTCACTTTGAATGTCCTATGTGTAGTTATGTTAGTATCAAAGTAATGACTACCACAATCAGAGTTATCATTTAAGAAAAACCTGAAAAACTGGTCGTCTCTGCGGTGTGTTGCCTCCTCTGTGTGCTGTGAGTAATTAGTTAATTTGGATCACCCGGCGCTCCCGGTTAAACCTGACGGGAAACCTGGCCACAAGTCGCCAGGTGGAAGGCGACAAAAGGCTGCCGTGCGCTTCAGCGTTTCAACTTTTCACTTACTCCTTTGAACTTTCCTCGATCTGTCCAACATGTACAGCATGATGGAACACGAGCTGAAGCCGACCGGCCAGCCCCCTTCTCACCAGACCTCTCAGGGAATGTCACCGGTCACCGGCAACATGACCGGTAACATGGGCAGTAATGGCAACTCTCACCCGAGCTCCAAAACGGCATGTGCGCCTGGAGGTGACCCCATGGATAAAGTGAAGCGACCCATGAACGCCTTTATGGTCTGGTCCAGGGGACAGAGGCGCAAGATGGCTCAAGAAAACCCCAAAATGCACAACTCTGAAATCAGTAAACGTCTGGGAGCTGAGTGGAAACTCCTGACTGACGCCGAGAAGCGCCCCTTCATCGACGAGGCCAAGCGGCTCCGGGCAGTACACATGAAGGAGTACCCCGACTACAAGTACAAGCCACGCCGCAAGACAAAGCCTCTGCTTAAAAAGGACACTCAGGTGGGCAAATACCCACTGTCCGCTGGGAACATGCTGGCGGCGGCGGCGCAAGGCCAAGGTGGAAGTCCTAGGATGGAGAGCTACGGCTGGGGCCCCACCGGGGGGTACGCAGGCATGCAGGGCGAGGCGCTCGGCTACACACAGCAGTTACACCGGTATGACCTGTCGGCTCTCCAGTACCCACCTGCAATGACTGCACAGACGTACATGAACGGAGCCAACTCGTACAGGTGAGCGGTGTTTGTGTGGGAACTACACTAAGTTTAAGTTTGTGATGGTATCCAGTTGTACAATTTAAAGGCAGTTTGCTGAACTTCCACGGATTTTAAAGCCGTTTTTAATCATGCCACATCCTGAAGAAAAGACAGTGTTGTGTAAAGGGAGTCGGGCAAAGTAAGATCTTTAGTGTATGGTATAAACCACTGTGTCTTCTGTGCATATGACAATAACCTCTTGAATCTTGAAACTATAAAGTGCGGGCTGCGACAACAGCCTGATTTACAGTCAAGTTCATAAATAAGGATACAATTGACTAAGTGAGGTTTGCAAAACTTGTCCATCAAGCAAACTCCTCCCACTGGACACAAAACCATTAACATTGACTCAGTTGCGGTTCTCATATATTCATATGTCATAGGCTCGGCCATTTTTTGTTTATTCCAAAATAAGTCATTGATAAAAACACAAGAAGTGTATAAGCTTCAAAGAAAGCCACCAAACAAGGTGTCCAACATGCTCTATAGGTCAGAGCCACCTCTTCAGTACTAAACAAAAGGCCAAGCTTATCACATGACCTGATGATGACTTTCCAAAAAAGATGGATAAGAGTGTGAGTGCTTTCAAATGACAATCAATAGAGGAGAGAGTGTGCGTCTTTACAGAATCTTCAAATAAGTGGTATAAGTTATATTATATGTAATGAAAATACACACACGAACACCAAAGCAAAGAACCAGTTTATTCAGATTAAGGCTGATATGGTAAAAACATCACATTGCAATTATTTTTGTTTTCTTAAAAATGTAGAACAAGATTTGTAGTCCATGGCATCCCTGCAGAGCTACAGTACGGCATTTAGAATGCTGTTTGTCACACAGTTTGTTTTATAAAAAAATCTGTGGTTTGCATATTGCACTTGGCCATATTGCGATTCCGATAATATTTTGATTAATTCAGATCAAGGTTTTGAAATAATGCATTTTTATATTGTATTTAGATTCAGCTTTTGTTTTCATTAGTGGGTCCATCTTTAATACAGTCACTACTGCAGACCTAACTTGTTAAAACCAGTTCACAACATGGCCATAATTACACTGACAGTTTTATTGCAAGTGTGTGTGACTTGATGGTCTGAAGTACTCCTCTTAATCTCCAGAATTCACCTGGTGTAAAACTGGCTTGTAAGAGAGCATTTAAAATTAGATTTGAATCGGGTAGAAATGTTGATGAAGTACATTCAGTCCCATTGAGTCACTGAGGAAACAACAGGGCTCAGTCTGTTGTCTACTTGTTATTCGTGTGACACTCTGCTCAGGGCTGGGTCCTGCTTGGAATGTTGATCAGTATGACTTGACGGCGGGCAGGACTACTCTGTGTGTGGTCTTCTACCCACAATCCCCTATTGCTGCTAAACCATTGTCCCAGTTCCACTTCTGGGTCTTCGCCTCCTGCCATTGGTCTCATGTTCCCCAATTTACAAAGACTTTAATAAATATTCTGGTGTGTGGATGGATGATGTTGAAATTTATTCCAGTATCTTCAACTAGGTCAACTGCAGTCTTATCAATTCAGACGTCTTTTTTGTTCTTGAATCTGTTAAGAAAGATGCTTTTATGTGTGTTATCACTTGTCAGTTTTAGATGTCACAAACTTTGAGTCATGTTGGAGGCCAAACTTGTTGATGCCCATCCTCCCACAGAATTCCAGTTTAAAGTAAGAACGAAAGATTGGTCAGGACCACTTCTCAATTGATGCTTAGATATCCTACTCTACCTCTGAAAATAGACAATTTTGCACAGAAATGACTGTGCAAAGGTACTCAGAAGTCTGCTTTATTAAACTAATTACTTTAACAAAGAACATTTTAGTTAACATTATTAAAAATAAAAAGTTAAAAATTAACAGATTGCCAACAAATTCTAGAAAGGAACACAGAAACGTCATTATGTACTGTAAAAATGTCAAGCCCTTTTGCAAACCAAAAGACCATTGATGTGACATTAAGAATAAATGTTGCAAAAGACATGTTCCGTAAAATGTATTTCATTCTCTTGTGGCAAGCTCCTGATTTTTGTACTCAGATTATTGAAAAGCCGAAGCGTTGTGAGTTTGTAAACTAGGCTAACCCTGATCGGTAGAGCAAACATGCAGCGGTGGCTCTGTCTCAACATGCAGGTGCACATAATTATTGTTAATCTGGTATGGTGTACACTCAGGTGTATACCCAACTCATTAACTTACTGACTCATAGCCTGTACAATGGGCAATGAGTCAAAGTACAGGACAACAGTTTGGTTAAATAGTTGGCAAATTACTTTAGTGGAAGATGTATCCGGACCTTTTTACCTCCTACAGTATTTATGTCATAAAGAGTCATGTGTGACATTCAAATTCCATTACAAGAAGATACAAGTCCATGTGTCTATTGTTTTGGCAGAGTCAGTGTTTAGTTTTTTCCCCTCGCAAAACTGTACGAGTGAAACTGAATGACCTTCAGTCTCAGTTCACTAATGCTGCTGATTTGGGACAATGGCTCTTAAAAAATATTGAGTCTACATTTTCAGGTTTTTCTAATCGAATAAAAGCATACATTCAAATATCAAGGTATGACCGAACCCATCGCACATGGCACATTCTCACAGAATGTTACACACAAAGTTCTGTTTTTATTTTTTCTATTTATTTATATTTTAAACTTTGAGATGGTATCTGACTTGTATCGTCTCCTCCCCTCTACAGCCCTATGTCATACAGTAGCAGTCCCCAGCAGCCGAGCCCTGTCACCATGTCCATGGTGAAAGCAGAACCAGTGTCCCACTCACCTCCAACAGGGACGCCAAACCACCACCGGGGGCCTTTGCAGGGAGACCTTAGGGACATGATCAGCATGTACATTCCTGGACCAGGAGGGGATGCCGGCGACCCCACGACAGCACAAAGGGGCTACACTAGTGTCCAGCAGCACTACCTCACCGGAACCGTCCCACTTACACACATTTAGAACTGAAGTAGGAATCATGCAGAGGTTTAACTGACTGGGAGGGATGATGCACAGCTGACCGGACAGGCGATGGAGACAGTCGTGGGAGACTTTAGACTGGCAAAGCAAAGAGACACGAAATATTAAGGAAATAACACCTTTTGTTCCTGCATTCAACAATGTTATAGTTCCAGATGTGCCTGCATTTACACAACAAAACAAGTGCTGTCAATTTTTTTTTTTTTTTTTATATATGAAAAGCTGTTTTTCTACCTCTTGCCTCGTGCCATCTGTTCAGATAAATGCCACATTCACCCACCAAACATACATAGCTGAGACTCCTCTCCAGCAGACTTCTGTCCATGAAGGAAATTAAGACAGGGGCAACTTCTGTTTATTATGTACATATTAGGAAATGTTACTTTTGTCTTTTTATATTTTTAGAACTTATCCATATAAGTCGTAAGATTACTTAATACCACTCTAAACACTTGTGACACTGGCACTCTTGGCAGTTTCACTATGCCCAGTTAGTGAGTGGCAGGGGACTAGTTTTCCACTGTTTGACCATGGAGCCAGTCCTTGCTGTCTTCAACCACAGCAGAGACAAACAACCTGACAACCTGCTTGATGGATCACAGTCAGCTGGTGACAAACAAATCATCTTAGCTGAAGTGCTTTAGTTGGTCATTTGTAGTTTCTGTCCTGATATGTGAGTGGAGCTGGAGAACAGCTGGGTGCCGGTGGAGAAAACCGGAAGGAAATGCACAACTTCAATGACAGAGCTGTTAAAATGAAGTCTTTGTGCCTTGGCTTTGGTTTAATACTCTTCTATTTTTTTGTATACTTTATTTTTTAGTGATGAAATCCTGTTGGATGACATGGAAAACACCTGTTGGACAATCAGCACTGCATCCACAGGAAACTAACAGAATACATTGGCTCCTATTATCTGTGGTGTTGCTTAAAATGTAGAACCAGTCTGATTTCTTCATTCAGTATGACCAGTGTTCTCAGTCACACCACATCACTGGATTTAGTGGAGTATGACAAGATGTGTGGTGCTGTTTTTGCTGACTGTATGAGTTTTATTTGCTATAATTAGTTTTAGATTTGACCTTTTGATGTAAATGTTCGGGTGCATTGTTCTGGCAGCATCTTGCATATTCATGGTCACTTTGCTCTAGGCAAGAGTTATATTGTTTTTAGGCTTTTCATTAAGTGAATGGAATTTAATATGAAATGCTACATTTCAGTTGAGTTGTTTTATTCCAGCAGATTAAGACTTGCAAGTTATGTCTTCCACAAAGTACTCTGGCTTGATAAAAAGGCCTTCCAGGCATGTTTTTGTTGGCCTGTCAGTTATTTCTGTTTTTACCAAAAGTAAAGGGTCTCAATAAGTTTAAGATTTTATCTCCAGCAAACCTTCCATCCTGTTTCTTAACCTTTTCTGATTAACTTTACCTGTGGGTAATATTATTCTATAAAATAAAAGTGTTTTTAATCTTGGTTTTCTCAAACTGACAGTAGTCATTTGTCTGTTTTTCTGTCTAGAATGCTGTGTGGTTACTCGGCTGCTATGGACCTAAAGGGAACTTTTATTTTCAAACTACAAAACTGTGAATATTAAATGTGGTAGATTACCCAGTTATTCCATTACTAACTAAACATGCACTGGAAACAGATGCCTGACTTGTTTTGAAAAAGGGAGAGCAGTTCTTAAAGTAATGCATGAATGTTTACATTGCAAGTATTTGAAAACTTAACTTTTATACTGATTTGTATCTCTATTTTTAGAATGAATCCTCTTGTATGTAAATGCTGCCATATTCTAATTACTGTAGCATTTGTGTAAATAATGTATAAATTTGTGGGCTCTTACAGTAAGAGTCTGTCTTTTGATTAAAAAAAATTGTTATGGCATTCATGACAATATTAAAAAGTACAAATTCTTTTTTCATTATTGATGTCATGTTAAATGTTTCTGTGCTCTTTTAGTCCAACAACATTATATATGATGGTAATAATTTCACACAATGACAAATATATTCAATGGCCACTTAAGTAGGTATACTTGGGCTGCTGTGTTGGATTGCATGAAATTGTACAACAGTCCCATCCAACCTTTCTAAAACTTCATTTAACAAATCAAATTAAATCATATCACATGGTTTTCCTCATCTGATAGTTTAATAATATAAATATTATATAGTATAGTAGTGTGTGAGTGTGTATATACACTGGCCACACCTGTTAATTCTTGAA